ACCCGAAAAGTTTGTTAGTAGAGGCGTTCATATCCCGAGGTACCACTGTATTTTCTTTACCTTCATCAGGACCATTTTGAAGCATAAAGGAAAGTGGATAATGTAGATTTTTCCCCACAATGAAAATTTATAAGCAAAATACGATCATGAAAATACTGTTCTTTTTAAAGTAACTTATAGTTCAACCAACTATGCTTATACACCCAGCAAAGGTGTTTAGGCATAGAGAATCATGGAATATTCCACAAATTATCTTGTTTTTCACTTCAGTTTTTAAATCTCCAGTTATCTTTGGGAATATATTGTTTTGATTTACAGAATCATAGTTAATATTCCATGGACTTAATTGCCATTATATCCATGAAAAGAAACACATTATGCCTTTAAGGAATATTTTAACACTGTAAGTTTTTTTTTTTTAAATCATCAACCAAGTATTCTAAAACTGCATTGCTAGAAAAACTGATTCTTAAAGGCCATGTTTTCAGTGCTTCTACATTGATTTTATTTTCCCATTCTAGGATAGAAATATTAATCCTAGCAAGTGAAGGACAGCTAACAGCTGAGAGATGGAAGGGTCCAGATTATTTCTCCTCATAGGTTTCCATAACTAACTATAATGACATCAAAATGACAAAATGTTACATCATGACATCACACGCAACTACTTGAGGCATGGGAGTTTGCATCATGAGGCATATTTTGTCACCCCCCCTCCCCCCGGAATCCCTGATTCTTTCTGCTCTGCAATATTGGATGATATGCTTCACGGTGCATTCAGCAACTCAGTTCCAAAGCTCCTCTCATCAACTACAGAAATAGGGTGAGGATGAACATATTTTGCTCTTTGAATGCGATCAGATGGGAAGCGCCCTATTCAGATAAGTGGCAATAAATATGAAAAGAGATTATGAGGTAGGGAAACAAATTAATCTAATTCCTTTTTTTCCTTCCTCCCCTCCATGTTATCAGTCCTTCTTTATATACATCAGACATCTACAATGATGATTTGTTTTATTTATTTATAAGATTTCAGTTCAGATATTCACTGAAAAACAGTGAATACTGTTACTCATTAAAGTAATAGTAGCAATAGCTTCAGCCCTTTTCATAATTAACAAGTAATTATTTTCTTTCTTTTTTTATTAGCTTAAGTAAGTAGTCTAACTTTCTTGCCTGATATGGAATGTCTCTCATTCTCAGAAAATGGATCTGTAGAATCTCAACTTCAGTTACTTCAAATCAACTTACATTTCTCACAATAATAACCTATCTTCTCCCTTAAAAAGTTATGAATTTTTGTAACACATGATCTTAATATGATGTATTATACCTCTTTAAAAATGACACTGGAATTAAATATATCATTGCTATCAAGGGAATAAAACTTTTAGGCATTAAAAGGTAAGTCATATAGTAAACAGAACTTACGAACTGTTAAGTATCTGGAATTTTTCTCCTTTATGAAAACTTAAATCATCTTCTGTTCTTGCTTCGTAATCATATAAAGCTACAAAAAGAGTTACACCTATGGAAAGACAGATAAAAGTGAATGCAACTTTCACAAATTGCAATTTTTTAAAAGAAATTATTTCAATTTTTTTTCATAATGGAAGAAGGAAAGGAGAAATTTGACCTTCTAATTTTATTTTTCATATAGCATTTTACATAAAGAGCCTAAAACTTCTGGTTTTATAAGCACTATATAAGTTATAGTGTTATCTTTTTCTAAAGTGCTTTGCATGTATTATCCTTGACCAATGATGTCCAGTAGGACTGGGGATCCTAGTGTAGCTTGCAGGGCACTAATGTGCCAGTGGATACATGTTTTGGTGCTGGTTGAGGCTCTTCATTTATTTAATGTGTTAATCAAATTTATTACTACCACAACTGTGAGGCTCTTTGCCTCCCCCATCTTCCTTTGCACATTCAATATGAATATAAATATAAATTTGAATTAATAAATGATATGCTGGCATGTTGCAAATTAAATTGCCAACTTCCAGCACTGTATTTATTTCCAGAGATGCAACTTGGTTTCCATGAAAATAAAAAAGATGACTGGCTGCAGCTGAGTGTTTTATTTGGGAATATGTCTACCTGCCCAGGAACAAAGAAAGATAAGCAGAAGTAGTTGGCAGCATACTGTGGGACAGTAGTCTAGAGCTAGTGAGAGGTCTCATTTCAGGAAATTGGTGCTTTATATCCCCCATGGCAAGCCCATCCCATCAGCCATGTTGTGAGAGCACAGACACTGATTCTAGTAATTCCAAATGAGCTCACAAGCATCATAAGCTCACAACATCATTAGACTGCCATAGAGTATAAGCCTAAGAAACAAGCACACACTACCTCTTTATTTCTGATATCTGGGAGATTGGATCACATATCATGCAAATGTGGTTTGTTTGGCTTTGGCTTAGCATGTTGCAGGAACATAGCCATTGTGATTTGTAAATCATGGTTAATGGCTTAGTGTGTTATAGATGCTGGCCTACTGGTACCACACCACAACTTACTGTGCTATGTGGATCCATACAATAATATCTTATTTAGGACCACCTACTGATTTCATGGCTGATATTAGCAACATGCGTAATGAATTTCAAATGTTCCTATCTATATAGCCTCTAAACTCTTATGCTGCTTCAGAACTCATACAACCAAAATTAAACCTTAAGACTAGAAGAAAAAATATACTGCAGTTTTCAAAACTTGTACAGGCACTGATTATATAAGAATGTTTGGGTTCAGTATATTGAACATACATGACGAGGAAATAATATCATCGATTAAAGTTGTACAACTGGCTTTTGTCAGTAGGGAAGCAGAGGATGACACCTCAGGATGAGTAGTAAATATATGCATATCTGAATTTATGCACTGGTGAAATCTGATAATATTGTCATCAAGTACAAGACTTACAGTATGTGCGAGATAAAAGCAAAGGGATTCAAAGAAGACAACTATATTGATTCTTTTTTCTTACTGAGAAACATAAACATGCTTTAGAAAGGGAATGGACGCCGTTCTTGTTGTTATTATTTACCTGTTCCTCCTCTTGTACGCAATGTACCAGTATGTGACGAAGAATTGACACCACCGAAGACCGTCAATCCTTGTCCTCCTGCTGTGGGGAAATTGTTGTAGTTTGGAATTGAAGTCACACCAAAATTTGGGTAATGTTGAGGGGTAGGATCTGTTCCATAGCGATAACCTGAACTCTGGTTTAAACTACCATCCCTCTCGTCAGTCAGTTTTGTTGCTTCTTTATCCTTACATTGCACACAGCCCATTATCTAAAATCCTGCAAAAATGAAATCAGAAATACAGTGTTGTTTTCATTATGATGGTTGTACATTTCAACTAAATTATAGAACACATACGTATTCAACAGCTATAGAATTAGAATAGGGTTTTTTTTTTGGAAAATCTAGGCCCCCAATTGCTAAAATAAAAATAACTCTTTCCTGGGATGGATTCCGTTGTACATTTCAACTAAATTATAGAACACATACGTATTCAACAGCTATAGAATTAGAATAGGGTTTTTTTTTTGGAAAATCTAGGCACCCAATTGCTAAAATAAAAATAACTCTTTCCTGGGATGGATTCCTAAAACAACTTCTTGGACTACAGAGTTAGCATTTGGGCTCCAAATTGTAAATATGATAGGATAGCTTTCATATTTTTGTAGGGTCTAAGTATTATATCAATATAGTTTATGCCAGTTCCATTCTTGCTGCAGCAAGGGCAACACAAAGACAAGCTATGGACCAGTACAGTCCAAAATTTATGACAAAAGAAATAAAAAGAAAACAAGTTTTTCAGACTGACATATTTTCTTCAGTATAGATTTGTGTTCTAATTACTCAACTTGGGTAAATTTAGAGCACGCACTTGCATGTATTGTACAAGTGATATGAATAACAGACCTCCCTGACTTTCCTTATAGTTCTTTGTGTTTTCTGTATTATCCTTCACCTGCCATCTTCTAAATTTTAGGAATACAACAGGGCTGCTTCTTTGGGCTTTAAATATAGCCAGGAAGTTGGCAACATAGGGCTACACTTAAAAAAAAATAGAGAAATATAACAACCAGAAAATATGATGATTATAACCAAGAATATAACAGTGCAATCAGAAAAAAATATATAGAATAATAATTAAATGAATGACATTTGAGGAAACTAAAAACATATCCATAAAGTGTTAATATAGAACTAGCTCAATTCTTTAATATATTATTAAATCTAGCCATAGAGACCATCTATTGCTCCACCTTCTCATTTGTAATACGTTATTTCAATACAATGATATTTATATAATATGCTTAGTTTCTTAACATTCTATTATTTAGGTACCTTAGAGTATTGAATATAGATAAGAGGAAAAAAAAGTGGATATTCTAGCAGTGTTAATTACAGTTTTGGACATTAATGTTATAAGCATTATGGTTATTTGATTTTCTTCTTCAAAATTAAATATAACATTAGAAATGAATTGAAAAGCATTTCAAGGTATTTGTTTTATAATAAGGGTTTCGGTCCAACATAGGGCTATATTTTTCTTTCAAGAGCGGCTATCTCAAAGACAGCTGTTATTTTCTTGTACATGCAACTGAATTGCATGGTTTCTACTAGCCTATATGTACTACTTACAGAGAGATCCTTTAGTTTTGATCAACATGGTATGGGTTGTTGGCCCTTTATCTTCTCCTTTCATAGAATGATTGTAAGTGTAACAGAAGTCACATGATCTTGGATTATGCAAAATAAACTAGAATCTGCTAGGGGCCATCTATGTTCCATAAGAGCATGAGAACAGTCCTGTTGGATCAGGCCAAGGTATATCTTAGTCTTGTTTCTCACAGTGGCCATGAGATACATCTGGACTGCTTGCAAGCAGGAGATGGAGACATATACCTCTCCACAGATGTTGGCATGCAATTATCATTTAGAGGCATGTTGTCTTGACCCATAGGTGACACTGATCCTTCAAGAGAAATAGCCCTTCATAGTCCTGTCCTCCATGATTTTACCCAATTCTTTGAAATCTGTTCAAGTTAATGGCCATCATCACATCTTGAGGTAATGACTTCCTCAGACTAATTATTACTCTATTTTATTTTGTTTGATTCATATAATACCTTTCCTTGAAATGATATTCACTCTCAAATCCTTTGTTCTCCCTGACAGCAAAGGAATTCTCATCTTGGAAGTAGGCTGAAGCTATCACTTCCCAGAAAGTCCCTTGTCTTGTCAAGGGAACAGGCCTGCTCCCAGAAAGTTAAGGACTCATTGTATTAAACACAAATCCATGACTTATGCTCAGAAGGCAGTTGGTCATGTATCTGACATTCTGTGCAATAAACTGAAAAAAAATATTCACCCCTGTTTTTCTACCTTCATTGTTGTTGGTAATGGTATTCTTTTTCTTTAGGAACTGTTAGATCTAAAAGATAGTGCCTATGTAATAATTTACAGAGCTTGGAGCCCTGACTTTTTCACCCGATAGCTGACCTCATCTTAGTGTATAGTCTCTGAAGATAGGTGGTTAGGGTTTCTTCCCCTGCTCTCCTCCCTCACCAAACTCTCCCCCTGGCACTCCTGTTTGCTCAGTCTGGTCATGAGCTCCTAACTACTTTGCCCCTTTCCAAGACTTCTGGATGAGACTGAGCTGTTGCTTGGGAAAGGAACTTTACGTACTACCTATCTCTTGATGAGTGAGGCAGCTGCAGCCTTAGCCCCTTCCCCTGTGACTTTGTGCTCAGCAAGCAAGCATCCCACTCAGCCAGGAAAACAAAACAAAACAAATGGACTCACACTGGCTCCTAGTTACTGTACAAATTAGAGAGAAACAGCACAGCACGGTCTCAGATTACAGGTCTTTTATACTCCCCTGAGTTGGACACAATCTGGTGTGATGAGTCACCCTTCCACAAAATTCTGACAAAGCACCTACATTTAGCCATCTGGAGATAATCTGTGAATTTTTTTCCATTCGATTTCACACCATCTCCATGCAATACTTTAAAGGTTTCTGAAAAGCTTCTATAATATGAAGTTAGAAAGGATATGGTCTATTGCAGGGGAAGGTGAGAATATGACCTGAAATGTATTATTCACCTGCTGAGCCAACACAAAATGAATTAAATTCCTAGTTATCAAAAGGGGGGGGGGAGAAAGCAAAGAATAAAGTAACTCTTTAAGAAATATGATCTTAGAAAAGTTATGCCAATAATGAATATACATAAACCTTCCAAGCTGTAAAAGATGATAGTGGTAGTGATGATAGTAATAGTAGTAATATTTCAAAGAGATAAAAGCTATACAAAACAGGTAATAGATGAATGGACTGCAGCCATGTCTCTCCCTTTTTTTGCTGGCACATATCTTCTGCGAAAGAGATGGGGAGGAGTGAATGGAAATGTTTGATGGAGAGATTATTCCCCTTACTGTTGTCTTTTTCAACTTGGCTCCAAATCTAGGTGATGCATATATAAACGTTCCTTGATTACAGGACTGCATAATTTGTAACAAAGGGCGTAACCTGCATGATTTTTTTTTTCAAAGCAAGACTTAGAAAAGTTGTCCATTCTTTCTTTAAGACCCCATGCATGATATCATTGAAAGCTTAGTTAAGATTCTGGAGGAAGTAAGAAAGTATTACTGGATGGGATCCAAAATGATTCCAGGACTTGTGTAGGTCATTTTAAGTACATTCGCTATTCAACAGTAGCGCAGAGCTCTAAACAGCCAGAGGACAAAAAACTAACTCCTACAGTTTTCACAACATTAGAAACCTCACTATATGGATCGCAGGCATTTCAACCTTCTGGCAAGCTAAAAACATACGGCTTAGCAGAACAACGGTGATATCATTTCACAAAATCTGGAAATCATTACGGCCTATAAGCATTAAACAAGATTTTGGTATAGTTCTAAAATGTCACATCCCTTGGGCATGACTGGGTCATATGACTGTTTTAGCAAATGGCATCGGTTTTACAAGCGTATAAAGAAGTTCAGTTTGCTTCTACTTCTCAAAAGCAAAATGAAGAAGGTGCTAATTAAAGCCCATTAGAAATTATGAAACTGAATGACACTGAGATATGTATTTCCTCATAAATTCCAATGTTTGTTTGCTTTATGGAATCAATCAGTAATTCTGTGACCATATATGATTAAAGCTGTAGCATGTAGTACTTTCCCAGAAGTAACTCCTACTGAACTTTCAACAGATACAGTATGTGTGGATATGGTAGTCCTTTGGGTTCAAAGAAGACATGCTGTTGTGCAGTTCATCTCTGGACACAGAGATGGCTCTGCAGTCCCAGTCTGGAAGTGCAGATTCTAGCACAAATGGAAACACACTGGAAGTCTCTGCAACCACTTGTCCTGCATTTCTTGCAGTTCCGTCTGTACTTTGGACTGCAGATGCTCAATCTTGTCTTTCTTTGAGATGGATGATGGATTGTTCTGCAAGTCTGCATAAACCTTGTTTTTGGCCTGGAGGGCTGCTGAAATGGTCTTGTGATTTTCACCAAACCAATCTTGATATGCCCAGGTTTTCAGTCTGAGTACACTTGTTGCAGTCCTCATGATGACATTTTCAAATTGCATCCACTTTTCAGAACAGGTTCCTACAAGCAATAAATTGCTGGAGTTTTTCTTTAAGTACATCTTGGAAACGTACTTGGCCTAGGTCTTGCAGTTTGCCGAAGTTGAATGACTTTCTGGCAGTCCTTGGTTGCTTACGATGTAAAGAGGCAATGTGCAGGTTGAGGACTGACTGGACCAGCCTGTGATCTGTACAGCACTCAACACCTCGCATGGCTCAGGTGATGGTGAGGTCTCTACGGTTGCACTGATGTACTATAACACAGTCAAGGAGGTGCCAAATTTGGACCTGGGATACATCCAGGTAGTTTTGTACTTGTTTGCAAGTCTGTACATCATGTTAGTGATGCACACAGGTTGTGCTTGGCACATTTGCTCAGAAGCAGCAGGCCACTGTTATTTACTTTTTCCACCCCATGTCTCCTGAGGATTCCATCCCAGTTGTCTGTCTCCACCCTAGCACTGAAGTCACCCAGAATGTTGAGTTTGTTGCTGGTGGAGGTTGTTCAAATAATCTGGTCCAGGTCCTTATAGAAATCTTCCTCGTCTCCCTCTGGACTCATGAGAGTTGGTACGTAAGTGCTGACAATGGTGATATACCGGGACTTGCTGAGAGGAAAGTGGAACTTCATAATGCATTCATTTATTCCAGTGGATAGAGTAGAGATGTTCTTCAGCAGAGGAG